TATATATATATATATCAAACTCGAAGATTAAAAGTTTGAATAGCAGCTACATTGGAATTATATTTACCTCTGCCAAGGAGGTAATGTTTTCACCCTGTTTGTCTGTCATCAACAGGACTCAAAAACTTATGAACCGATATTGATGAAATTTTCAGGAACTGTCAGAAGTGGGCCAAGGAGGACAATGATTAGTTTTTGGTGGTGGTCCGGATCCATAATCAATCAATAATAATAAAAAATTGCTGCCTTGGCAAAGGTCTGCGCTCTTGGAGTGCTTTTCTAGTTTTGTTATGTCTTCCTTTTTAATTTTTTCTCAAACACTGGCATTTGTGACTTTTAACTCTCATCCGCTTGAGGCTCTGCACATTTTCTGTATTTCCACATAAGCAGTTGTATTGTTTTTTATGTCTTTAAACATTATGTAATATTATTTTATGCACTGTCATCATTTTTCAAATATTGAGACTTTCATCATGTGAATTTGAACTCTCATGGTCCTGAAACTGTAATCTTATTGCAGTGGCGGATTGAGACCATCTTCTGGGCCTTCTGGAAGACGGCCAGATTTTAATGTTTACATTGACGGGTATCTATTTTTTCCTGTTGAAAGACCATCAGAAATGGAGGATGGATCAACAAAGATACTTTGGAATACTGTCAGAAAATATCTCTGGGTCTGCTCCTGTTATTGACCATGTTATCTGTTGTTCATGATTAAAATTCAGTGTTGATTGACAGCATTATTTATTATTGCATCCGATAGTATCCTATTTTTTGCATCTTTATTTTCTGTTTTTTGTCTGTACATTTGACAGCTTTGCTGCCTTGTTAGATATTATTCGCAAATTATTAATACTAACAAAAATTAGACTGCACGTTTTTTTACTAACACATTTTGTCCTAAACCTCAAGTTTATTTATTTATTTATTTATTTATTTATTTATTTATTTATTTATTTACAATGCCCGGTAACAAAGTTTTTGCAAATTACTTTCGATGAGAATGCAGTTTTGCCGTGTTTCGTCTAAAACATTTGACTGTGTTCTGTTACCGTATTCTCTTGCTAATAATGGATAAAAGTAAGTAAGATATTTTATTAATGGGTTAATATTACAAAAAAAATTAACTAAAATATGACGTGAGTTAAAAAATTAACGAAGGTCTTTCAATGATTTAAAAATCCGGCGACACCATGAAAGTAGCCTCAATCTATTTATTGAGTTATTTGAAATAACCATTTAAGACATTTTCTGAGACGTTGGACACAATACTCGCCTCCTGACAATTTGCAGATTTTCTACTTTAGTTAAAATGAAATGAATCGATTGGAGAATAAGAGACGGCGCTGCGTACAACAGCAACGAAGGTTTAAAATTTCCTCAAGTCCGTTAATGATTTTTGTGTGAGAACAAAAAAATCTAGTTATTATTATTTTTATTTCTAAGTTGCTAGGCTAATGTTCGTTTATTTCCACATGGATAAAAGATTCTTCCCCTCGCTTACTTTTAAGGAATTTTTTAAAACGTTAAATGACGTCTATATTGAGAATGAGTGGGGACAAAACTCTGAGGAAATGATGGTACTGAGTTACCCAACCACTATCTTCCATTCCTGGGGGGGGGGGGGGGGGGGGGGGAGTCACCTGACTGAACCAACATACCTGAGAGGTAATAGGTTGTAATACCTATCACAGCCCTCATTTCCCTAATTAAACTTGACCATCAGCAGACGAAATACTGGCAAATCTCAGCCAATTTTCTAAAGCTATTGACAAAAGAAACTATTGTTTATTAGAAACACTTAACTAATGAAACTGGTTGATGCCACACAGTGAAAAATGTAAAATTCACCAAAAATTGCATAACTTGAAGAAAAATGTTCCAATGAGGCTGCTGTTCGAACTTGACCTGTGTTTTAGTGCCATGAATCATTGCAGAGCTAAACGATTTCAAGCAAAGTTAGGTTGCCATAAAAGGTCGGCTGAGAGCAGCGTTAGCAGTCTACAGCATTGTCACACTTGACGTAAAGTAACGATGGGCATATTATTATTATTATTACAAAGAATCGTATTATTAATGTTCTTATATAAGCGTCTGCGCCTGTGGTATTTAATGACAGAAGCTATTGAAGAGGTATCAATACTTACAAAATATGTTTTTGTTTCCATATCTAAAAAAAAAACACTTTTCGACTGCCCCACACATACAGTGCCCAAACTGTGTCGAACTGCCAAGCGAGTAAACAGCTCGTACTGCGATGAGCAACTTACAGTTTTTTCTAAATTATAACAGGTAGAGCTCGTTTAGGTTAGTCAGGTTGTGGCTAGGTCAAAATACATATAGATGATACAGAAATGCATGTCTTTATTGCAGAAAAATTACACGAGCGTCTTCCGCAATACATTTCAATATCCCCCCTGATACACTACCCTCTGATATCAGGGCTTCTAAAATAGTATAGAACATTAGTTTTGTAACAGACTACTAGCGCACCCTGTGGTCAGAGATCAATGTTACACCACCCTCGCAAAACTCAACAGCAGGGGAAGGCTTATTTTTATTTATTCATTTATTTGTTTATTTATTTATGGGGGGGGGGGGCAGAGCTAATCATTTGTAAGCCTACCTCCTTATGCACTCACCTAGACGCTTGACTGAAGGGTAAGTAAGAAACATCCGATAGACATTTTATAATAACCCAAAAATTATTTTTCAAAACTTACCTTTTATAGATAATAATCGAATGGTGCATTTTTATGACGCTGTCTATGCTTAAGAATATTTAGATTAGCATTTTTAGTCTATTATTTATACCAATTGTTGAATAGTAAATCTATATAATTGGTAGAAAAAGTTATGGGAGGAACAAGACGGGCCGGGCCCTTTCTAAGTAACTGGTTACTAACATCGGTATCCCGGCAGAAGTTGAATAACGCTTTACTTTTACACCATTCTTTCTAAATACTCTGGGTCTAAGAAGATAAGAGTTCGATGAAAATATCATTTTCACTTTGCATATGAAGCTTTGGTTTTGTATGAGTTCTAAAGGAGGAATTATGGACCATCAAACATCGACAAAAATTATTAAACCTTTACTCGAAAATAAGAGATTCAGTGTACGTTATACAAGGTACATGTAGATGAAGGTCTTTGACCACTGTCTTTTTAGTGCAAAAGCCTGCTGTAAACCCCATAACTATCCTATTTTCTTTCTTTGTGAAATTCTTTCTTCCTCTTGGTTGAGCTTTCGCTTTATTTAACGTCTTCCAAATAGGGAAACTAATTTAATTGTAAAAAAGAAATATTTTGGTATATGGACTCGCTTTAATGGATCTGTCGGCACGTGGGTATACCGGCATGTGAGTTTACCGGCACAATATGTAGCTAGTACTTGGATTTTTTGGAGACGGCGTATCAATTGGTACTTAAGGTTATAGACACGTAAAAGTATATGAGTAAAAACGTTTCTATTGTGACAAGTATCTATCAAGACGTTTTTGTATTAAGCTTACCCAAGAGAAAATACCTATCTACAGTTCTCTTCTAACACAATGGGAGTATTTATTAATTCATCGACTGCATGATGCCTTCTGTTTCCTTGGGCGCTGCATGATAGACGCAAGAAGGACGTTTAGGCATAGGCCTACTTAAACGTTTACCTCACAGCGCAGGCGAACGGGGGCGTCTCGATAGTCCGAAGGTTCATTGGTCCGAAGGTTCATTGGTCCGAAAAGTGGTAACATTTTTATCGATTTTTTAATCAAGGGTTCATTGGTCCGAAGGTTCTATAGTGAACATTCGGACCAATGAACCTTCGGACTATTGAACCTTCGGACTATCGCTACGGCCCCAGGCGAACAGGGGCCGTAGTCTCAAAACTTTGTAACTTACAAAAATTTGTAAATATTCACTAGAATTTGTCTATATCGGTGCAGATATGAGCTAACGGTTACTTTCCCCGCCTTCCCCCCCCCTCTCCAACCCACTCTCCTCTGCCCTTGCATTTCCATTCTATCATGGTCATATCTATCGCAGCCATGCACTTTCCTGGAATTTTTACTCACAAACACAATAATGGGAAAACAGTAGTATTTGAAATTCAGGGTAATATCAATGCACTAACGTTATTTAATTTTGAACACTGTCAGTGATATATGTTGTATTGCAGTAAAGGTAACATGCAATTAAACGAGCAAATGCATCGCCCCCTTTGATCTGGATCCTTATCATACTTACATCCGTTACCTATAACAGTTCTGTGCTCGTTTATTTAGGCGAGACTGTAAAACCTAAGTAAAACTAGTGCATTTTGTTATGGATTTAATGATCGAGCAACAAATGCGCTTATTGCATTTTTCACTCTATCTTTTGTGGAAATGTTTAATGTTTATGCTAAATAAGTATGTTACAGTCGAATGACCAAGCTTTATTCTTTAACACGGGGCTTTCCTCGCAGTTTGACTATCGAAGCCAAAGCTCTTGAGTTCGTCTGCACCGGGATCTATTGTTTACTTAGTAGGTCTAATTAAAAATTAAGAAAAATATAAAATATTAATTGACAAAGAAGTTATAAACGGCATAATTTTAACTGCATATGTACAAATATGAATGTAATTTAAGAGGAATATGGTAAGGAAGTTTTCGAAAGTTAATTCATTTATTTCGTTTCGGACCAGTGATGCCACAATACAAAGGAGAGGCGAATCGGCGATGTTCAATTACGCGGTGAAGCCAAGAACGCAGTGATTCAGGTCTGCACACATGTTATTAAATACCTGTCTTAACGAGATACAATCTGCATTAACAATGACTTCATGGTGAAGCTAATAATCACGCAAATGAATAAACATGCATTAAATACTTGGTCTCGGAACACTTAATCGCGCGCTTTCAAAGAGGGAAGTTCTAGAATCGTGAGAGGCGCTGTTTCTGGTTTATTCTGCACTTTGAATGTCGAAGACTTGGTAGGTATAATTTTAACTATTCAGGATTGTAGATGATTTAAATGTTTCGTTGTTTTACTGAGGAATGCCTCATCAATTTTACAACCAGAGTGTCCTTTTTTAAAAAGCACACCTGATTAACACGGAATTATTTAGACTTCAAAACCGGTAAATCTTATATATGTGTTTTTCAGTTGCTGAATCTGAATCTGAATCATATTTCTAAGATATCGTTTAAAAACAGTGTCCGAATTTAAACCGGTAAATGCAGGCAAAAATATATTGTTAGTTGGAAGATACCCTGAAAGTGTTTGCACGCTAGCGTTATTTCATGAGAAATCAACGCATAAAGTTCAGGGATGGGGCAAGATGAGGCTGGGCACAAAGACTTATTGACGGGATTTTGAGACTCTGCGGTCAACAATGTTGATGGAGATTATTTAAACGAGGGGTGAGATGTCTTCACGTTCTATCTTCCTCTAAGGCTGAGAATTATTTAACATGGCAGTTAGTAGTACCTGTAGGGGAAAAGTTTATACTGTATAATGTCAGATATTTCATTTTTTTTTTTCAGATATGCATACAGTTGCGATGACTGTCATTCAACACTTGAGATGTTTGTTCTTTGTGCTTGCAGTCACTCATCTCTTTTCACCCGTCGTAGAATCTGCGACAAATTTAGAACTTTCTTCCATATTCCGAGTTTGTAATTCTTGGAAGTCATTCAGCAGGAGCTCACTGGACTGTTCCATGCGGAACTTGACGGACGTTCCGGCCAATGCTGGACACATGATTAAACTAGACAAAATGGACTTGAGCCAAAATGACCTAAAACAAGTTGGGTTGGAAGATTTTGTGAACATTGAGATGAAGCATTTAAATCTGTCTCATAATCAGATTGCAGTGGTATTTCAACGTCCTTTTAGGAGATTGCGAAAAACGCTGGAAGAGTTGAATTTGGACAGAAACGGATTCAAGTTTATTCCACTGGCTGTTGGTACCTTATGCAATATCAAACGTCTGTCGCTGTCATACAACTTCATCTCAGATATCTGGCTTGAGAACATAATGTGTGTGACAAAATCTATAGAAGAACTGGATTTGCGAGGAAATCAACTAACTTATCTTCCGTTATCAGTAAACTCTATGAAGAGGCTAACACGACTAGATTTGTCCGAAAATCGGATTTCTGGTGTAGACGGGCTGGACCGTTTGGTAAATTTAGAATCTCTCAACCTCGCCAGTAACAAGTTACAATCTATTCCGCCTCAAATTAAAAAACTTTCCAAACTCAAAGAATTAAACCTTTTTGATAATCAAATCATGAAAATTCCGTCGGCTGCTTTTGCAGGAACACAACTTCAAATGCTGTATTTTGGTGGACAAAAAGTAGCATTTCTTTCCCGGAAGGCGCTTGCTTCTGTTCAAGAAAAATTGGAATACATTAATTTCAATTCTATGATGATAACAGAGTATCCGAAGATCATTACTAAGTGTAAAAAGCTGAAAACGTTAGAAATGGCAGATAATGGACTGTCTAAACTTCCAAAACGAAGTTTTCATAGAAAGGCTCAAATGATAAAACTCAACTTGTCCAGAAACAGCTTTGAAGACGTTCCAAAAACAATAAACCGTCTCTCCAACCTGCAAACTCTGGATCTGTCCTTCAACAAAATCATGGTATTAAAACCTGGGACATTTTCAAAGCTGAAGAATCTTCGAAAGCTCGTTCTCAGCAATAATATGATACTGCAGTTTTCTTACACAGCATTCCCTGAGGCCTCGCTATCCACTATTCGCTTAGACTTGGATGTCCATGGCAATCTCCTCACTTCTCTAGATGAATGTTTTTTCAAAATGGACTATATGAAAATTCATCTGGGTAGCAATCCTTTGCACTGCGGCTGCTCCCTCTACGAATTGACAGTGAAAGGGACCGTCTCATTGGGGCAAGATTTTCGATGTATGTCTCCGCCACCTTTACTAAATGTCACGTCGACGGACTTGATTTCATCTTTACGGGAGACTTGTAGTACAGAAACAACTACCAAGACAGATTGTGACTGACAAAAAAATCTACGAAATGAAAAACAGTATTTTGTTGTTTGGACCATAAGTAGCAACATGTAGTTCTAAGTAAAACAAACCACAAAACAGCAAATGTGCATTTCGAATTATTCCGATATAAATGCCTTGAATTATATACGTTGTTAGAAAAAGTTTTGCGCAAAACAACACATAAGAGAGCTACACGTGTAGCAAGTTTCACGTTAAACCGAACATCTATTCCTATATTAAATACATTCTAGTAGTAGAAAGGTTGGTTTCCAGTGGACTCGGAGACTTAGGGCGGCCTTTTAGTGCCTTGTCATAAAAATGATATTTTACTTTAAAAAAAGTGCCCTATTGGAATAAACTTTTCTACAGACCCAGACTTCAGCGCATCGGGCTGTTATAAATATCCATTTGTTCATAGAGGCAGGAACTACGTGTATTTGCTCACAGTACTCCCATTGTTTGATTATGCATTATCGATAAAAGCTCAATGATTCACACATTTAGAAATAAGATTGGTTATATAACCTTGTTTGCGTGAATTCCAATATTCCTTGTCCTGTGAACGGCAATAGTTTTCAATAAAATGTTCCGTGATCACGTTTGTTCATTCTTTATAAAGTTTTTGCTGGTTTATATGCAACTTATAAAAACGTCAGTCACAATTTTTCACGGATGCAAAAATAACTTAAACCCGGAACTTCGACTTCACAAAGTATATATTAACCCAGACTGTGATAATGTCCTCCTATGCGGTTAAAGCATGCCCGCAAAAAGTTGCACAGGTGAGCTATCAGCTCTACCTTGACCTATATAACGGTCACCTAATGTGAAGACTTCGGGTTAGACGAAATCCCTGTCCCAGACAGCCCGAAGTGTTATCGTATTGACATAAAGAAATCGCGTGGGAGAATAGGGCGGTAGAACAGTATGAGAATACCGGTCTACGTGATTAAGACCACAGACAATCAATGTTCGTCAGGCTTAACCGAGTTCAAGGGTGAGGTTTCAGTTTAAGTTTTGATTCTCATAGGCCTACTTATACTTAGCAGCTACCTTAAATTAAGAATGTAAAATCTTATACTGCTATATTTAGTTCATGGGAATACTAGGGGGTGCAATGTTTCTAATTTGAGACCGAAAGGCGCTGCTAAATGACTGCAGTTATTTAACATTCTGGGGTGCAGGAGGTCCTCTTTGTGGAATATCATTCGCACATTACGATACCACAACGAAGGCCTACATCAGCATGTTTGAACATAATCGTAAGTTATAGCTGTGCGACATTCACCGACCTTCACATATTCTTTAGAGAACATTACTCGCTGTCAGTACTTCAATGGGACAACGAGTGCAGTCAATCCTTGAATGTTGATGTGTTGTTGTTAATGGTGGGGCAATGAATTCGTTATACATGTTGTTATACAGTGCATTTATGTTAAGTTATTTAGTCTTTTAACATCTGTGTTTAATCTCCGTTCCCATGACATTCGCCATGACATTATAGATAATAACTGTAAGAGGAGAGGGAGTCGATCAGTAGGTATACCATTTCCCGAAACACGTACCCACGATAGGGTACTATATTTAGCGTATTTATTAAATTAATCAAACATCTCTAGAGGTTAATAATACAGCAACAATGTTAGTTTACCGAATCACCTCTTTGTTTGTTTGCCAGACTGAAGGAAAGTTAAAGCATAATGTTGCGTCTTATTTCAGGCTCAGGTACAACATATACCGTAGATGATTGTTTGCACATGTAGTGGCGTTAAAAATGGCGAGTGACGTAAACAGTGAGGCGATTGAAGATGTAAGTCATCGTAATTATTTTCGTTTATAAATTTAAAATTGTTTTTAATTTTATCTTTCGTCTTTGGTTTAATCATCTTCGTGACTACTAAATTGTGATGAATGGTTAATTTTATCTAAGCTTCGCACAAATGTAGGTCTACTTAAAACTTTTTTGGTCAATGCCCATGTATTTGCTTTTATACAAATCTTTCTATTAATTATTAATGATTTTAAAATAAACATGGTTTTCTCCATATTTTTAGGAAGACAAACAACATGACAACAGGGACGAAGAAGGCGATGTACAGGGTAAACTGACGTGGCCTCTAGAAGTTGATACAAATCTGGAGGAGGGCGTTCTCTGCTGGTCAAAATGTTTACCATGGGCAAATGTCAACAAACTGAGAAAGGCTGTCTTTTTGATCGGCTTGATCGAAAATATTATAATTGCCAATATTGTGTCGACGATCGTAAGTTACGTGGATGTAGGGCTTGATATTTATTTCATATACCACGTTTTATACTTAAGAGGTCACTTAACTTCACTGGCGCTTAGTGCTACAAGCGTCATCGGCTGTTGTTTGTTATCATCAATATTTTCGAACATTGTCATGACAAAGGAAAAAACCGAAAAGAAAACGTGACATTTGTCGTTTGATTTTTTATTTTCTCTTGGATTTTCCACTGCCGTGGCTCAGAATAACGTTTCTATCAGCCAGGGAAATGGTGCGAAAATGGAAACTGTTTTGCCAAATTTGCGCGTCAGTGCCACCCGACATTTGCCCCTGTTGTTCAAGTTGTTGTTTACCTGTCTCACAGAAAGCGGAGTCGTCTGCTGAATCGGAGAATTTAAACCCTAATGCTAGTCAGGTTGAGAAGATAACATACTGGAAGCACCGATGGAAGACACTGCGCATGGAAGACCATCGATTATTACGTCTCGGTTTGATTGAAAGTCTTGTAGAAGCCATGCCTCAATTTATGATCAACATTTATGTTATGCTCAAGTTTGGAAACGTAGAAACATTCCAAATTGTGAACACGTCAGTTTCTTTTTTATCCTTGGTATGGGGTATAGTTTTACATCAGAAATTAGTTAAAGAACACTTATATACTTCACAAACGGGTAAATTGAAACCACCAAATGGTTTAGGTTTTCGACAAATGGCTGTAATATTTTTGTACAAAGCCCTCCTACTGGGTTCACGATTTTTGGCTTTCGTTTACTTCAGTTGGGTATATCCACTCGTCAGTTTAGCTTTTATAATTCCCCATTACTTAATAATAGTTACTTATATGATTGCTAAACGTCACTGGGACGGTGTATTACTGAATAAAAATGACAAATGGATATTTGCTCAACGAATGCTAAAAATTCTTATAAACAGTCTGCTAAACATTTTCATTTATTATCGCGAAACAGTCCCGCCAAATGTTCCTTTATATGGAGAACAAATAGCATACTACATACTTTATACTGTTGAAAATATAATGTTGATTACACTTCCAATGGGTAAAAACATGCATTTAACTGATCCAAATTATGTGTACATAGCATCTGCTTGTGCTATAGGTATGTTGTTAGGTTACTGCATAATGATATTTTATTATGTTTGCGTTCACAAGTCGTCGGAGTACATTCGAAGGAGCTACTGTTGTTGTTGTTACCCCGAGACTGAACAAATACCCTGTTTAAACTACCACACCAGAGCGGTGAAACACATTCACAAAGATCTCATTTCTCACGTGGGGCAGGAAGAATTTGAAGAAATATCCAAACTTTGGCCGTCACAAATATCAGGTATCAAATATCAAAGATGCCTTCAAGACGGGAAAAGTGTTCTCCTTACTCCAGGAAATAAAATGGAGATATATTATGTTCCTAATTCCTTTTTGGACAGAAAATCATCCACTGTCAGTGTAAACACCACAGAAAAATAGCTGCAAGAGCAACAAAATGACCGACACCAAAGAATATGAATGTTTTGTGAATTTTATTATATACATTATTATAAAAGTTTTATCAGATATTTTCTATAAAAGAGAGGTGTTTTACTGAGTATCTTGTTAATTTTAATTAAAAGGTTTGACTTTTGATATTTTGTTGTTTGATTTTTAACCTGAAAAGTGTTAATGTTAGCATCTTTGTGTGGTCAATCCAATTCTTTCTGTCACAGAACAATTCAAAAATAACATAACAGTTTATGAAAATATAACAAAGCAGTTATTGATTCTGAAACTACTTTGATCAGAACTTGCTGTGTTACCAAAAGATACATGCTTATCAAATTGTACAAGTAATCTCCTAAAAGACAGTGACAGTGCTAGCATGTCTACAATCCATAAATTGGTTTCACGGCAACCTGCTTGCCTAGAGGATGTCCTTTAAGGACACCCCACCCTGAACTCCACATATTATCTGACTAGACCATTTTGAAGATTCCAAACCAATAAAATAATAATAATGTGCTTGAATTAAATCACAGCAGGTCAGAGTATTCAGTGTACTGCTCCAACAATATCATGTTCTCCTTCCTTCATTATAGGATTTGATGTGTAGGATTTGATTTTTAAGAAATGTACCAATTCCACTTCCTCTGTGTTTCTTTCTCATCATCATCACTGTCCTCCTGGCCTGGCTGTGCCCTGGTGGGCGTGGGACCACTGGTCCACCCAGATGCAGTGTTGCCAGACTTGGCACTGTCCACTGCTTTCACAGCATTAACTTTTCTCCATATCCTCCTGTACAAAGAGAGCAATGAACTTTAATTGTTAAAGAATTTTATAATTTAATGCCCATGTACAATTTTGAAAATTTTAAAGATACTAAGTAAATGAAAAAGCAAACATGTATGACAAAACAAAGGATTTGGAGTAGACAATTCATGTGGGAAGAAAATCATATCACCTCAGTAAGAACATTGCAAACGAGATGGAACAACTGTATAACCATTTTCAAAGTATAACAACAGATAGAATCTTTCAAAGGGTGAAAAATGGCCATCCTAAGATAAAAGTTTGGTCTTTTGTTTATATGACTTTAAATATTCTTCTTGATTCTTTGATGAAAAGACCAAGCAGAAGGTAATTTTAAGGAAACTGGGGCAAAATAATCAGATACCCATCATTCTGTCCACAACACCCAGGCAATTTCACTGTGTCACATACTGACATGCAGAAATGAATTTATAAATAAAAAATCAAACCACAAGATTTTTCATTTGCAAGTAAGTAATTACATGAAAATATATTCTGTAACCTCATGCATTGATATTTTACAGAAAGGCACACCAAAAGCAACAACATAAGCAGTAAAGTGAATATGGCATGCAGAACCACCACATTTTATATCCTTGATCAGGGGTAACAACATCAACAGTTACAATGGCAGATCCAAGTGGCAGAAAAAAATCTGAAATATATCTCTTTCTGAGCTTGCCTTTTCCAGTAAAGTTTTAAATTCTCCAAATATGTATTAAGTCCAAAAATAGGACCAAAGTTAGGGGAATATTCTGCACAAAATCTGACCCTTTCTCAAACTGTTATTCTCTATCCTTTTCTGAAAACCCTGGATCTGCCACTGGCAAACTCAAACATTATTTGTGTTTACCATCTAACAGGGTTCTAAGACTCCTACATTGGTGAATGCAGGGAAGAAAAGCAGTGTGAATATATTATAACAACACTGGAAATAATAAGTGAGTTGTGCATGCCATGTTAATGTTGAAATTATACATACTTAGTAAAACTTTAAAAATTTCTACATGTTCAAAATAAGTATATTCATTTATGAAGTATTATAAAATTAAAGAGTTAGAAGAAGAGATCTGTAAGAACTCCCTTATTGTATGTGTTGTCAAGGAAAATATAGCATGCAGTACACAATGCAGAATAAAACGGTACTATCACACAATAAACATGGCTAAAAATTTATTTACCTAATGTCTCTCTCGCTTAGTTCCGCATCATCTATAATTTCATGGAAATCATTTTCCATTTCTTCTATTTCCTTGTCACAGAACTCATTTTGTTTCATTAGCTTCTGGATTTCAATCTGAATGTAAAAATAAGTGAAAGGAATAAAATAGAAAAAAAAAGCCAATTTAATTAAAAAAATAATATAATTATGGTATATTTAATTACCAAAAGACAAAATGTTCTATTTATCAACTACCACACTATATTTTGAAATAAAATAAAATCACTCTTAAACAAAGGTAATAAAAGAATGTCTTGAAAATGTCTTGCACGACAATTACAGTTCCATAGATAAAAATGAAAAAAAGTTATTTTGAAGATCAAACCCATGGTCAAAATTTAATTTTTTTTAATATTATTTTTTTCACATCAGTATTTTTTAAATTAATAATCTTTTGCATAACTATGAATCAATCAAAATACCTCCGTTTCCTTAACACATTGTTCCAAATGATTGCACACACTGCTTGGCACAAACTTTTCATGTAGGTGATGCCTGGTAGCATTGATAGTCTCTAGCTTCTCAGTGATACTGGTGTGTAAGTCCTGCACCTGTTCAGCCAGGTCCTGCTTCTGCACACCTACAAATGTGGGTATAATGCGCTTCGGAGGTTCTGAAAAAATAAAAATAAATATATGCATTAACAACACTGAGTGAATACTGCTGTATAGAATGCTTATTGAATGGATTTCTGACCTGCACATTTTAGAATTTAATGAAAGTATTAAATGAAATAGCAGAATTTAGTGAAAGTATCAAATGGAGTGGCTAGAATTTATGAAATGTTTAGAATGATTTTACAGTGTTTTGAAAAAAAAATTATATAACTTTGGTTTGTTTCAGAAAAATAGCACACACTGACTTTATTGGTCATAGTTAAGTAATTAAGGATTGGGTCATGGTAAAATTAAAGATACTGGTGTGTTTTGTACCTGGTTCAGGAGCTGCAGCAGCTAGTTCAAGTTCATGCTGGACTTCTTTTCTAAGGCTGAAAAAATTGATATTCCAAATTAGTGCCATGCATTTTGTTAGAGTTAATAGCTACTCTTACACGAGCAACAATGATAAAAGATGTAAATCTAACCCTTTGTCACTTCACTTAAATTCTTATTTATTTTGAAAAATTATCAATGAACATAAGAATGATTTACATGTAAGAAGTATTTTACAATTTGTTACATTACAGGAGACATGAATTGAGAAAGAATGTTTACTTCTCCCTATGTATCTTTATGAGAAATGTAAAATACACACCTTTCATTCAGAGAGAGCATCTTCTTTGCCTCACTTTCCATGAACTCCACACTGGATTTATCTGCCTCCAGATGCTTGGGTTTTGATGTACCTCTGTCAGACAGTTGTTGGATCTGTTCGTACAGTTTATTGTGTTGAGAGGTCTGAGAGTCCAGCAAAGTGGACAGATAGTTGTCATACTCTCCCTTTGAAATGATAAAATATATTATTGAAGTGAAAGTCAAGAGACAGTGGTACAGTGCATTGATTACATCAAGGATCAATGCCAGCATTACTTGTCTTTGTCTTAAGCCAACTAGTCACTCAAATTTAGTAGATCTGAGAAAAGTACATGTAATTGTCAGAACCAAAGATAAAATGGGCAAGAAAAATCTACAATATCCACTACTTCCACAAGTCTAATCAGACTAGTGTTAAAGTTTTATTTTATTTTGCTAGTCTAAATGCCAAATCTACTATAGTCAACTTCATGAATCTTGTACCTTGACAAAGTGGCTAATGTTGCAGACTGCAGGTTGACTCTACTAAGTATTGTATGTTACACATTTTCTTGAGTGATACTGGGATATGATAAGCATTTGACCAAGATTATAAATACTTATAACTTAGTAGTATTTGCTAAATAACATTATGAATGAAAACTTACCTTGATCTGTCTGAGCACATATGCAAATGTAGGAGATTCTCTTATCATGTCATCTAATGTGTTACTGTAGATTTGTAGTCTGTGAAAATTAGGACCATAACCATCATATGGTAATGTTGCTAATTCCTAAAAAACAACAGAATATTAAAAATGGTGAAAAGAGCAAAGAACAATCTAAATATATTTCAATATTCAAAATTAATCTTTTTATATGTACATGTTATATCTACAATATCTATAAGTCTTCACCATAATGTAATGTTTATAATTCTTCATCTTAACTTGTTATGTTTATAAAAGAACAATTATAGGCTACCCTATCAATGACACCCAGGTGAAGATCAATACAACTGAAAGAAGTTGATAGAAATCAATTCAGCACCACAGTTCAAATGCCCAAGATCAATAACATTCATTAATTAGTCTACGTACATATGCCATTGATAAAAAAATAATAAAAAAAGATACTCTACCTCCTTCAGCTTCTGTTCCAGCTGTTCTACAGCTTTCTGCCCTGACATGACCTCTCTCTCCATAGCATCTTGTTTCCTAATCACAGTCTTTTCAAAATCTTTAAGGCGATCATACTGATCTCTTTTTGTCACTCCACCTAAGTGGCTTGAAATAAACCTATGCTTAAATGTATGAGGTGGATGTTTAGGGATAAGATTCCTTGGGGATTCATCCCTTGCTTTATCCTCCTCCTCCTCATCAGTATTTTCATTGTCCATGCTTTCCCACCGCCCCTTTTCTGGTTCTCTTGGACTGGGTAGCATGACATCTGGAAGCCTCAGCTCCTCAACTAGCACTGGAGGTTCTGTCTGTAATCCGTCATATGAGTCCTCACTTTGAGGAGGAGGAGACTCAGAGACTCTACCATCTGCAAAATTCTCTATGTCTTTTAATCTATGTTTTTTAACAGGTTTTAGATTTTTTGGTGTTTTATGGGCTTCTGGTGACTGACTTGGTGACAAGCTTGTTTTCCCATCTACTAAATGTTCGATATCTTTCAATCTGTTCTTTTTTGGGGTTCCTTTAGTCCTATGTGTCCTAGTTGGTGGAGGATTTGGAAGGGCACCTGATGTCCCAACACTAAAGTCCATGATGGCTTTTTCCATTTCTGATTTATTTTGAAGTCCTCTTTTTGGTTTTGCAAGCACATGTTTTTGCTTCATTGTAAGTTGTCCAGCATGAGCACTAGGCCATGATTTAAAGGTTGCCATCTCTGGTGGTTTATGGAGTTTAGATTCATTGAGATGACCTCCACTATAATCCATGATATCTTTCCTATGTGCAACCACCACCTGTTCCAGTAATTCATTCAGTCTTCTATCTCTGCCTCTTTCAGCAGCCATAGTCATAGCGTAAGTACCTGTAAAATAAAGAAAACTAAGAATGTGCATATACTAGTACAGTGTACAGAATAAGACACTGTATGTCTTGAAACACTTACTTTGTCATAAAATCGAAATGAAATAAGCATGGTGTTAAAGTGCCTTTTACCGGTACCTCAAAACACCTGCTAGACTTGTGAAAAATTAGTCAATAAGCAAAGGTATACTTATTGAAGTGCTTTTTAGACACATATTGATTTTCCGCGTGTGCAGACAATCTATCCACACTTAATAAACAGAAATATTGATTTTATCCTAAAATTGTGCAAATTTATGTTTTATAATTGCTCTTGATCAATATAAGAGCACAAAAGGACATTTTATCATAAGAAATGCTGTCACATTGTATCAACAATGACTCAAAGAACAGGAAACTTACTAAATGAACATCAATTTAACACCTCAGTGATATGTGTTATTATTATTATTATTCAAATATTCACTTATGTCTGTCAAGACCCTCCTTTGACCTCCTTAAGTTGGTTATCTGGTATGTCCATAAGTTTCATGGCACTTATCATGTCCATAAGAACCAGACTATTTTGTCCAAATATTTTAAACTAAATATAGCAAAATTTTTAGTTCCGGCTGGATATTTCAACACTTCTCCCCCTAATCACCAAGGTACTCAGTATGCCATATCCAAAGTCAATTACAGTACCATAAACTTATTTTGAGTCTTTAGCCTCTCTCATAATGCCTCATTAATTGTATGAGAAACTTCTCATGCTCAGAGCCTTCAAAGGGGAAGGGGGATGTCTGGACACTTCTCATAAAACAGGCCAGAGGCAACAAGACTCAGTGGGCTATGTATTTATACAGTTTACCATCACTTCCACCTGAGTTGCAGGTGTGATAAAGTATTACACCAGTCACAAAGCAAAGTTAGCAGTATTTCATGGATCAATACTGTGTACTAAGAATAGACCTTTCTTCCAAAATTCAATATTGTTTATCAACATCAATAACTTTTTTAAGGGATACATTTGGGCATAGATTTGTTACAATTTGCAGAGGCAAAAGCAATTATAATATGAATAAAACCTATTTAAAGTGCTTATTTATTGGTTCATGCAACAGTTTGATAACATTTTAGTATTTTTATTCTACCGGTATGTTTCTTGTACATGTACTTACACAAGCCATTGTTAATACTTACACAAGCCATTTGTATGTGAGGTCACAAAAAACCTTAAGAGTTTGTAATACAGGTGGTTAATACGCCTTAACTGAGGCAAAGGCAGTTTTGTGCTATATAGCCTTGATACTGTAAATTGTATTTAAAGATTATAGGGCACTGTTAAACAAATATATCCATTCTACAGTATTTATGCCAAGGTTTGTAATGGTACACATCGATAATAGACACGCCAGTGCCTATTTCAGAACTGTTTTCTGATATTCCTAAAATACCGAAAATCAAAATATTATGTTACTCGTCCATTAAGATCAATACACTTCCAATGACATCTGCCATTTAAAAGATGTCTGTGAGCAGTAAACAGGAAGGCTAAGAACATACTTACTAGTCAATCAAACTCTTAATGTAGTAAATACACCTGCAACAAAACAATGTCAATGATCCGCCATGACAGTTTCACCATCGTTTCCGTAGCAACCATCTGTGACCTTCACATTACTGAAGACAAGCCAAAAATAAATTCAAATGTTTGTGAAAATCACAGAAGTTGGTTCAATTTTTCTGAATAAATTTAAATAAAATTTAAATTAATCGAAAGCAGTTTGTTGATAACTGGCAATTTTATGAGTTTGAATTTAAGTTATGTGTCGTTTCTTGCAGTGCTCCAGTAGGTGGCTCTACCTGTAGCAGCTCTTCTGTGTTGAAAGAACGAAATGTCGAAAAGGAGGAAATTTAGAACATTGAATTGACTCATCACATTAGAGGCTCTTTGGTCAGAATGTGCCGTTTCTGTTGCGGCTGTGGTGACAGGTAAAAACGTATTAAAATATCAGAGAAATTGTGACTCTGTATGAGTTTTATGCGAGTTTTGTACATTGGAAACTTTTGATCAAAATTAGACTGAATAAGACGAACTCCAACTGTTCAAGCAGGGAATTATATTGGATATAATTCCCTGGTTCAAGTTAGTCTTTATTTATCATCCATAAGTTTGTGAATACTAATAGGGATTGGTTATCGTGATGAAGCGTGCTGATTGTAGATTTTACCCATATAAAGCCGCTGTCTATCCATCATGACTCGAGATATTAAAATATTTGTTGACTAACTTTCATGCACAGAAGTCCTTCCTGTAAGTTTAACGTGAGTACCTATGACAAGTGCAGTGATGCACTTTAAAACCGACATCTTCATGTACATCTAAAGAAATTTATGTCCTAGTGAGTTAAAGGTAATGTTAACTTTAAAAGTGCTCTCCTACATTTAGAGTACACATAGAGTGCATTCCCAGAGATTTAGATCGATCTATCCGGATCAACCTAACTCCCTGGGGGTTCACACTAAATTGCAGTCAGCTGAGCGCGCACGGTAGTTAATTACCTCCTTACAGCTTTTAGTAAGCGGGACAGACTTTTAAGCTGGCTAAGCTGACAGTAATCTAGTGAGACTCCCTACAGGGATAGATCGATCTGAAATATGTGGGAATGGGGTCATAGAGTAAGGCAAACTCTTAAGTCATCTCCAGAGCTCTATAGAATTATATTCAGTAGAACAGTGTTTGTTTGAAATTATCAAACTGCAAATAATATACATCAGTGTCCTATTCCTACCAAATTAATTTTATTCATTGCAGCAAAATAAAAGAGGTGGTGAATGTCATTTACTACCAGTTTAGCTGTCCCTACAAGTGGGATGGACACTTGACACTGATTGCCTTTCTTCACCTGGTTATTTACATGGCTGCCAACAGTACACATTGTTGTGAAATAACTAGGACCAATGAGATAAACTTCCTTCTTCCCCATGGAAATGAAAATTCTTAGTCTTTTTGAACAACAGAACTTGGGAATAAACTCTAACTCGTATAACCTTAATCTGAGTCCCTGTGGAATTTGAAGTGATTTGCTTATATCCAGAACTTAGGTTTGAACTCAAAAACATTATTTTAGGAAAAAATAGTGAGAGAGGTATAGATTAATGAGAAGCTGTCTGGGATAATATGACAGTTGAGAGTCATAATGAATAATACATTATTTAAAACTATAAGCCTCTTTTTTCCTCTTAATTTAGAAAAAGATGAAGGTGTTATAATATGGAAAGATGCTGACTTTATAAAGCTTGAAATACTAGCCCTTTAATTCCAAACTGTATGCTAGTTTAATGGAGCTCTGTTGCAGTTTTAATAAATATTTTCAATCATAATCTTCACCTCTGTGATTAATGACACTGCTATCCCTGCCTGGCTATTCCAGTGCATTTGTATACATAAGTAAATTTATACAGGCACAATCAGACCAAGATGTTTTAGTTGGGAAATCTTTAAGGGGCCAAAATCTCATCATCAGACTAATGGATTGTTTACAAAGGACTTCAGAGTGGGAATCAGTGAGTGCCATTTGGAATGTATTTGAAATCCAGTTGCCTGATGATTACGTTTGACAGACAACTTGTCTAAAATTGTCTTGGTATACATGAGTACGGGTTACCTAGTGTGTCACATGTAAATCAGTGTGCATTAGATATATATGCTGCCTTCATAATACTCTTTGGAATGTTAATTGTGAAGTGTTGTAGCTTAAACCCAACAGATTATTCAATACAAACATTATGTTGTAACCTGTTATCGTTAACAATTATTGTCACTTTGCGTGGAATGATTGTTATTTTTCCATTACATAATAAGTTACATGTACAATGAAAATAGCCTAAATTGTAGACCACCAAAAGAGCTCTTTATATAAGGTTGGCAAAATTATGATACCACTGTAAGTATATATCATAGTCTATCCTAACTATCGGTAATTGAAAAACTTGGTGTTTAGGATCTGAGATTCATTATTTGCATTAGGAACCAAAAGGTATAAAACTTAAAGCACAATTGATTTTGATCATTAGATATTGCTGCATTTAATAATATTTATGGCATACATACATGAGATACATACAGTAAGTGCATGCTCAATTTAAGGCTAGACTTTAGAAAAATCAGTGACTTAAGACCAATTGTAGATAAGATAATAAAATAAATGTACATTGTAGGTATGCCCCCTCCCAATTTCATAACTAGTAAAACATGAATTCAGTGTATTGAAGTTGTTTGATGGATGTGCAACACAGAAAGGGTGTGGTTAGAAATGACGTACATGTATCTCATCTACAAACACCACTGACATCTGTATAATTTATTGGTGTGAAAACATCAGCGCAAGTCCCGAGTTCTCAAGATTATAAAAGTAATGAGGCGCCATCAACATTGTGGGAAGAAGAAATAATATTGAGCTTTCTTTTTAAAAATACATGTGACCTCCGTATGAATTCCAACCTCTGCCCCTGGTAATAAAGGTATTCAGTTTAAAGCCCTTTCTACCCTTTGAGTAACTTTCTCTCTGCATTTAGTCAGCACTTAATACCTGAATAGTCAGTATTATTTCACATATTACTTATTCACATTCATAATATAGGGGAGGGCAAAGGAACAATTGGTAGGTCATTGAACCATTGTGAGAGGTGTTTAGGCAATAGATTTATTACAAAGTAGTCTTAAATAGCTGTCTAAATGGGAATAAGTCTAATCCAAATATCTGCCCACTTAAAAACATTCTAGTGGCAATAAAATGGGCTGATTGCATTCTTTTGCAGGTGTTCTTAGAGCAACACAGTCAAACTGAATACTTTGAAAGTCATGTAATGATCCAGCAAACATCAACAGGGTGGTGCATAGGGAAGTAAACTGCAGAGGCATTTTGGTGGTTATTATAGCCTTGTTGTACCAGGTAAGCTGAAAATATTATTCTCTTGGTATTGTTTTTGTTGGCATTGCTTTGTATGAGACTTTGTGAATGTGCCTAGAATAGACCATGATACAAAGCTGAGGAGAAAAGAGATGTTTATTGAACAGCACCAATGATGCCTGTCCTAGGTATGAGACCGTGGAATCGGAGCCACAACAAGACCAGTGTTGTGCGTCTCTTGGCTTTAATTAGTGATAGTGGGGTTGTCAGCTTTTCACATTAATAGATATTTTTAAAAATTTACTTTGAAGTTCCCTCTTACCATTTTTTCAGTGTTATTCTAATTTTTCAATTTCATATGAGAATAATGGGTGTATACATATGTGATTTTGTAATGTTGACCTCTTGCAAATTGTTTTAAATAACTGTTGCTGGATTTGCCTCCATGAATGTAAAATATTTGTATTGGAAATGAAGCTAAAAATGATGCTATTTTGGTTTCTACTTCAGTTAGTTGATCCAGCTGCATTTGTGATGTGTTTTTGGCACTGAATAATCATTTTGCATGCCTGGACACATATCTTGTAGCTTATTGAATTGTTATTGTCTTAAATGATAATTCCTGGCAATTTAGAAAGTAATTGACAGCTAGAGTAGTTGGTTTGTCATATTAAAAAATGAAGGTGTAGTCAGTCATTTATCTCCCAATTGACATTTTTATGTATAAAGATACACCTGTGTGGTCTTGATGCAGTTCTATTCCATGGGTACGGAACATTCCCTTAGGTACCTTTCACATTAGTCCCAGAAGGATGGAATCTGATTTGACAGGCCCGTAGCCAGGGGGGTTCGGGGGGTTCGAAAGAACCGCCCCTTTTGCTGGGAAAAGGTCCACTTTGGGTAAAGTTTGATCAAGGTACATGGCATTTTTATGGGAAAAGGTCCACTTTTTCAGAAAAAGAACCCCCCTTTTGAAATTGCTGGCTACGGGCCTGTTTGATATCAGTGATGTCATCATTCTATCTGTTATAATGATGTGTGTAAGAAATTGTTATCAGAAGAGTGTTATTTTCTTAACATTAGCTAGGATGTGGTGCTCTGCTCATAACTGGCATAAGGCTGTGCAGACATAAGCTTGATTATACTTTAAGAGGTCCTAGGTTCCATGTACATTTTTTTTGGATTCAGTCTAATAAAGTGGAAAAAAAACAAAGCTAGCACAGTAATGAATATTACTGCACAAACATACTCATCAATAAAAAATTGACATTCTGTTAATGTAGCATTGTCCTGGTATTGGTTTTGTGACTTTTTTCTAGCAGATCACAAATTACGAAGGCAAACAGATAACATGATAATACACTCAGCTTCTCATTGTTATGACACTTATTGTGTAGGGGAATATAGCTCATAAGTTTCATGTACTAGTACTCTTCTGATTGGAATGAATGATGGGTAGAAATTGCTCTTGAAAAACAATTCCCTTTTCAATAACAACCAGGGATAGAATATGGGCATCAATAATATCTCTACAGAGCAGGCACACATTGAAATTATGCTGCCAGTATAGATTAATCAGTTGAACCTTATGCTGGTTAGGTAGGAACAGTGCTCTATATGATCTGAAGGTAAGGCTGGATTTTGGTTACCATTATATTTTATATATTTTTATTATTTTTTCCAATTTACTGAAAAATGTGAAAAATTTGCATGAAGAAGATGAATGAGGATTATTACCTT